GTTCACGTTCAACGAAAACTGAGAAGAACAAAGAAACACCGATGTAAGTAGGTAGACAAACAAAATAAACGTCCTTCACGCGAACCCCATACTTTTTAATCCCCGAACTACGAAGCTTAGAAGGGCCGAGACCAGTCAAGACTCCCCCAGAAAAAAGGCGGGCGTCAGCCCAGAGATTAGGCTAGGCAGGCATCAAGCATGCCCTCTTGGTTCGATGCAGTTCCAACGTTTTTGCTGCTTGCTTACCTGCCCCTACCTACGTACCTACTCCGCGGCCAGCCACCACTGCACCCGACGGAAGCTAAGACAAGTCCCAAGGACGCGCCTCCGAAGAGAACCGCGGTGTGACCGGGGTTTGTGGCTGATAATCCATCACATGCTCGATGCTCGTGCTTCAAGTACGTGCAAGGGCCTACAGTAATACTTGGTGGCTTGTCTTGACTTGGTTGACCTACTCGACTGATTGCTCGCCCGCGGGGTGGGAGCTGAGAATCCCTAGTGAAGGAAAGTAGTGCGCGTGTGCATGTGTTTTGTGCCCCCCAAGATGGCGGCTTCCCCGTCCAATCGTGCACCCGCACACTAAGCACGTTTGCGCTCGCCAGCCGCATGGCGTGAGAGAAATACACCAAAGGCCTGGGTTGACATGTGTTGTTTGCCGTGCCAAGAGTGCCAATTCCGATGAGCTGGACGCAGGACGTGCTCAGATGATACGGGTACTGGGGTTTATAATCGCGCATATCGAGCATCGCGGTGCGCAGGGTGGAGGGGATTCCAATTGTTGTTGCGCTTGAGACGGGTAGTACGTAGATGGGCGTGTGGGAGAGGTCTGCGGGTGCGAGAAACTTCTTTTTCACGACAACACTTGTCATTTGATGTGGTGCGATACTTGCATTGAATATTTTATTATCAATTACAACAACACTACGTCGTTGCACGTACCCAAATCTCATGAGATGGGAAGGGGAGTACGGGATATGACGTTATCTTGCAACGTCGAACACGAGAGAAGTACCGAACTGCATAGCACCGAAGATGTCCCTGAGCTTTGCCGCGGTATGCCACTTACAATCTCGATCAAAGAGATTATCTGAACGGAAGAAACCGATCCTCTAGGTTACTGTTGTCCTCACATCCATAGCTTTCTTGATGGTCATGAGGAGTGACGGTGAGACCTAAGCTTGGTTCCGCCTCTGGGCGTCTTGGAATCGGGAGTGGCATAATTGGCATTCGCAAAACGCCAATCAATGTACATCATATCGTCTATAGGGGTATCATAGCCTAATCCATGTCCTCGAGACTGCCAGCACCGGCACCTTCAGTAGCTTGTGGTAACTGCTCTTCACTAACCATAATTCCTACCATACACTCCCCTAGCATATTCTCCCAATTCACCCACGGATGCACCTCCATAAACAGCTTGGTCCCATCCTTACCCGCGGCCCTCCGTAGCTCACCCTCTCCGCCTGGGTGGAAGGGTAGGTATGGTGATATATTGTATACCTTTCCCTGATAGCTTGACCATGCGGGTTTGCCCTTGCGTCCGTTCTTTTCCTTCAACATGGTGGGTGTAACACGTATCATGGAGTCGACGCCGGACAGATTCTTGCCAGACTTTTGCAAATGTGCCCAGTCAAGTGGAGAGTGACCTGGGGACAAAAGTACCTTTCCTCCTCGCGCTTTTTGTGTCGGGCCCGCACTGGGTGGTAATCCTAGACTGCCGTTTGAGGTGGGTGGGCCGCGATTCGGCAGCGGACCACGGTTGGGAAGAGGCCCAGTTGTGGGTACGCGCATCGACGGAGAGGGCGAGGTGGGAAGGGCGCGCAGGTTTGAAGCTGCGACTCGCGGTGGCGGCATGAGCGAAGTCGTGGGTTTGGGTGGAGGCGCCATGAGGGTTGGCTTGTTAGGCTGCGGTGGCGGCGCCATTACTGACATTGATGGCGCTTTAGAAGCCCGTTGCGCCGAGTTCATGGCGGGAAAGGAGGGCGGTGGTAGGTCATCTTCTTCCTCTTCATCTGAACTTTGGTGCTCGTTGAGCGTAAAGGTCGGTACTGCAGGAACGTCGCCTTCGGGTACCGGCGTCGCCTTTGGTGTCGACTCTCGTGACAGACTCATCGAGCTCCTGCTGTCTTCATGTTTTGTGGGAGACTGCAACTCTATGCTCTGCTCCTCAGTGGGAGCGCTGTCTTGTTTCTGGCCATGCTGCGACTTCTCTGCGACAGCCCGCGAAGGTGCCTGCGTAATACGCGTAATGAAGGCAAGCCATGTGGACGGCGGACGTTGATAGACCAAAAAGGAAAGCGAAAGGGCAAAAATAGAAAGAGCGACAAACATAGCTTGAAGACAAAGAAACCGGAATGATTGAACCCTTCAGGGTTGCGAAGAGCGGAACCACCAAAGCACACGCCTCATGCACATGCTAGGGCCCGTAGGGCTGAAGGGGATCGCGCTAACCTATGATGACTCCACGCGCTGCATGCCGTCATCTTCAGGGCACCCGTAACATCTCACGTGTGGGTGTGTACAATTGCTTTATTCGAGCTGACTCGATGTTTTGAAGACTCTATATAAGAGGCTTTTCTTGCGCATACACGGTTACAGGTCCCACAATTGTTTGCCGCTCTATATAGACTCGCGCCTGCCCCACCACCCCTCCAACACCGCAATCAGATACCGCGACCGCGATTATACTTTACCAAAGCATAGTACCCAAGGCGGACAACATCATGGCGGCGCCGGCGAACTTGCCCGAGGGCATCATTTCTCTCTTGGATACCGACTTGTACAAATTGACTATGCAATGCTGCATACTAAAGTTCTTCCCGGATGTGTCAGTCACGTACAGCTTCACGAACCGCACTCCCGATAAGAAGCTCAGTCGCGCCGCCTTCAAGTGGCTGCAAGCTCAAGTAGATAGTCAGTGCACATGTTTCTGTGATGATAATCTCACTAACCTTGGTCAGAGCTTGAGAACGTAGCTGTCTCCGACGAGGAACTCAAATTCCTCAAAGACAACTGCCCTTATCTAAATGCGCAATACCTACACTTTCTCTCCACATTCCGCCTCAAGCCCTCGAAACAACTCAAACTGTCCTTTGAGCCTGCGAGCGACACCGGTTCGGACAGCGATCAAGGCGACTTCTACATCCATACAGAGGGCCTATGGCTAGACACCATCTTGTATGAGATTCCCTTACTGGCCCTTGTCAGTGAGGCATATTTCAAGTTTGTCGAGACGGATTGGAGTCACCAAGGACAAGTTGAAAAAGCTTATGAGAAAGGGAGAGCGCTATTGGAAAAAGGCTGCATCTTCTCCGAGTTTGGCTCGAGAAGACGGCGTGATTACCACACTCAAGATCTTGTCCTACAAGGCTTGCGGCGCGCGGTAGATGAGGGGACAAAAGCAGGATGGAAAGGCAAACTCTCGGGGACAAGTAATGTTCACTTTGCCATGAAGCATGGACTTGTCCCCATCGGCACGGTTGCGCATGAATGGTTCATGGGCGTAGCTGCAATCACAAACAGCTACGAGAATGCAAATGAGATTGCCCTAGAGTACTGGACAGCTACGTTTGGTGCAGGAGTCTTGAGCATCGCACTTACCGACACGTTTGGTACACCAGCATTCCTCCAGGCGTTCAAGAAGCAGATTCCTCGGATTACCACGGCTATCCCGGGAGGCGGTACAACGCTCGCTTCAGCTGGAAACACGACCACCAGTGACGCCGTGGAATCTCTGTCGTCGACAAAGGCGCCCATCCAGGCACCATACGATGGAGACAAAGGGCCACAGCAGACGTATGCCCAAGTCTTCACAGGCGTGCGCCAAGACTCAGGTGATCCATTAGAGTTCATCAGGATGATGCGGGAGTTCTACGACCAGGAAGGCATCAAGGAAAAGAAGACGATTGTGTTTTCGGATTCTCTAAACATAGAGCTCTGCTTCAAGTATAAAAAGGCGGCGGAAGAACAGGGATTCCAGCCTACGTTTGGCGTCGGGACTTTCTTGACTAGTAAGCATTCACGTGCATATGGTGGAAGAGGCTGACACGCACAGATGATTTCGTCGAGACATCAACGGGAAGCAAGTCAGTACCCCTCAACATTGTTATCAAGATTGCTTCTGCTGCCGGTCGCCACGCCGTTAAGATTAGCGATAATGTTGGCAAGAACACTGGAGACCAGGCAACGGTCAACGAAGTCAAGCAGCGACTTGGGTATCAAGAGAAGTCGTGGGTTGGTGGTGACGAGAAGACTCGGTGGGGCAATGCAGACCAGACAGCCACCTAGAGCTGCGTGTAGCGATGCGTGTAGAGATGACATGCTACTCGTTTATATGACGGGTACGTTTGCGTACGATGACCAGAGTACGTCTTCAGCTGCAAGGCTGAGTCTAGTGCAGACCCACAGAACCTTGGTAAGACCGCCACCGGGTGCGTAAGCTCCCATACGCCACTTGTGAGGATGATGGAGAGATCGGTATGCTAGTTGGGCGGGTTAGATGAGGTAGATTAGAGACTATAGTGCAAGTTGCAAGTAATGCGGACAGCCAAGTAGTGGCATGGTTCGACGGTTCCTTGCAGAGGCCAAACAAGTTGCACAATGCCATATTTAGACTTGTGTCAGAGGAACCGCGGGCCAAGGACGCGCCGCTTCTCGCTAGACCCCATCTAGTCTAGCGTGGGCGTTACCTGCAGCTACGAGCCCGGACCAGGTCAGCGCAAGTGAGGCCTCAGCCCCAGGAATGACTTCGCACGCCTGTTACTGAAACACAAATATCTTCTGTTTGCAGCCTTCTACTAGCATTGATTCGACCTCGAGTCTATTTTGCATTGATTCACGTTACATTACTCCCGTCACAAACCTTCCGCTTTCAGACTGGTTGCCGCTTTGCGCGTTTGCGATCGCTTGTCTCAGGAGTAATTCACGTCCACTTGCACCACACACGGCCCGTTCAGAAATGAGCGTAAGTGCAGTCAAAGTCCTACAACTCGGTCCCGCGCGCCCTCCTATACGACACCTCCGCAAACTCAATTACCACATTCACTGACCATGGCTGCCACCGACGAACAGTACGGAAACAGGGGATACGGCCAGATTGGCTCTTCTGGAGGCAACCCCTATGATGCGCGCGAAAACTACGCACAGGGTGGATACGACGACCGTACGTTTCTCCTACACACTACACCTCTGACACCTGTCTAACACCTGGTCCAGGCGACGTAGAGATGCAAGCTTACAACAACGGCGGTGCTGCCGCGAACCCCAACGCCATCCTTGACGAGTGTCGCGAGGTTGACCGCGCCCTCGACGACCTCGATGGCCAGCTCGCCAACCTTGACCGCGTCTTCAGGCAGTCACTGGCTCGCCCTGACATGCCCTCGGGCGAGATCAACAACCTCAGCTCACAGATCATGAGCAACTACCGCGGCCTCGTCACACGCGTCAAGAACATCAAATCAAAGCCCGACTCTGGCCACCCCAGGAACGCTCCCCAAGTCGGCAAGGTCGACCGGAGGCTGAAGGCTACCATCAACAAGTACCAAACACTCGAGTCGGACTTTAGGCGGGATTCACAGGCTGCGGCTGAGCGTCAATACCGTATTGTGCGCCCGGATGCTACCGAGCAAGAAGTTCGCGACGCTGTTTCCGACCCTGATGCGCCAATCTTCCAGCAAGCTGTAAGGACCCTCGTTTCCCACATGCCATTCATAACAATAGCTCACCCTTTTCTAGCTCCTCAACTCTGACCGCCGTGGCCAAGCCTCATCAACCCTGCGCAACGTCAAGGAGCGACACGAAGCCATTCAAAACATAGAACGTCAGATGGTGGAGCTTGCCCAACTATTCCAAGACCTCGACCAGATTGTCCAGGAGCAAGAGCCGCTTGTCGCCAACATCGAGCAAAAGGGCGAGGAGATCCAAGACAACGTCAAGGCTGCCAACGTGGAAATCGATGGTGCTATCGTCAAGGCTCGCAGCCGCAACCGCAAGAAGTGGTGGTGCCTCCTCGTTTTGCTGCTCATCATCATTGTTGTTGTCATTATCGCCGTTGTTGTCACACAAGTCAACAA